CTATTTCACATCAGGACACTTTAGATCCCTGGGTACTTACTTACAGTCCTGATCCACATTGGCTAGGTGCAAGTGAGGGTGTGAATGGCTATCTGTTTTCTAAATCTTTATGTGGCCCTGTGATGGTCTGGTGTCCTGTCCAGGGTGTCTCCTATCTTTTTCCATATGAGCGGTTGGAGATAAGCTCCAGCTGTCTGGAACCCTWAACAAGTGGGGGCAAGAAAATGAATGGATAGATGGAAGGGATAGTCATACTCACAAGTAAAGTACATTTGTGTTCTTCAATTTGTCTGCATAAATTAAATCAAATTTTAGCAACAACAAATGTCACTCTTGTTTTTCTTTCTGGCCATTTTGTAAGTAAAGACAGAACGTCACTGCCACATGACTAGTTGGCGAATGGCATTTATGAAGGAGTCTCTAGAATGTTTCGTGACATTCGTGGTGCTTCTCAATTTTCTTGTGTGAGTTGCAGAGCAAAAGTGCACCTCTGCGACTGAGTCGTGTCACTTGAGTTTTGAACATGTTTAAAAAAATAATAATTGTCAGGTCTAGGAACTAGAAACCACATTGGTGACAAGTAATAATTACCGGTACTGAAAAATTAATCGAAACCTGCCTGTTTGAAGATGGCTACAAAGTGGTCTGAGGTGGGTATGGGGTGGGTGGGTGCGTGTGGGCAAAAGAATAATGTGCACTACCCATGAAAGCAGTTTGCAAACTGTGCACTAGGGCTGCACAATATATAGAAAATTTATTACAATTGTGATAACAGCCTGTGACTAACAAAAGAGAGTTTTTTTAAGCATCAGAAAAAGTTTTATGGGGACAATATTGTAAGTCAGTGATAAACTGTATTGCATGCAGTTTGTTGTTTCATTGCAAACACAGCAGCTGTGTCTAGTTGCACTTTATAATAAAACACTCATGTTGGAATGGAGATGTTTTATTTTAATTTTTTTTTATTTTGCTCTGAACCCAGAGCAAAAAGACAAACACTGCATTATTAAGTATTTCTTTATTTATTGCAGGTTTTCCTAATATCGTGCAGCCCTACTGTGCACGCATAATTAGGCTGGGATTTTCATAATCCACCATTCAAAACATGGCCGCAAGGCATAGCTCCGTCGTCACTTGGTCGCAAACACTCGGACTGTAGTGAGACTGCAACTGAAAATTTGTTTATYTTCTCACAATTTTGGGTCACCAACAAGTCTCAAACGGTGACAGTCCAGTGAGATAATAAGATTTGTTAGTTTTATAATCCCTGTAAGAGTGAACGCCACAAGGTGTTCTCAGCTATGTCCCTTTTTAAAGTACGCATGATCATTCTGATTAAGGTTTAGTGGACAATTGCAAAGCGAACAGAGAGTGAATTTAAATGGCCCGTTTTTCTTTTGGGATATACTTTGTCAGTGAATGTGTCTAAATGTAGCTCATGCTTTTCTCAAAGTCATGTAACAAACTTGAAAATCACTTTCACGGATGTTATTCGCCTTGATAGCCTGTTATGATTTAATCTGGTTCACACACTGCCTGGAATCAACAATGAAGGGAACAGATTAGTTTTGACTCATTTGACTCAACCTGTTTGTATTCATTTCAGTCTTTAACCAGCAGCCCTGAGTCACAGTGCCCAAATTTGCTCAAAGACACAGAATGATTTAGTGAGTAAACACGTTGGCTTGTGTTTAACAACACAAAGGCTTGTTGTGAGTATGACCGATTCCTTCTAAAGCCAGCATTGTAAATAGTACAATTATCACAACAGATACATTCTAAAATAYTAACAATTTATAATCATTGTTAATCTGTATTTGTTAAAAGTAGGGCTCTGTATTATCATTTGTCCTCATATATACATGCAGATTTGAATGTAAATGAAAGACGTACGCTTAAAAGTTCCTTCTTTAAAAAATTCATCTAAGTATTTTGATACATGATTAGTTTATTATTGTGTTATTACATATCATGATTGWAGTAAAATATATTTAGATATTTGATTAAACTGTTTGTGACTTTTTACAATTTTCAGAGACAAATTTTATTACCGTACTTAGAAAATGAAATAGGTTAATAGTTAACTGTTTTTTTTAAATGAAATGAAGTTTTTTTAGAGAGGCTTTTGCATCTATTAACTCCTTTGTATTTCTTTTCTAGGTTTTGTGAWATGCAGTGGACAAAAGTCTAGGATTTAATGTGAGTGTGTTGGTGTTTGCYCCGTGAGGACAGACCTGCCATCATGAAGAGTGAGGTGCCGTCTGAGGCCACTAGCAGACGGGAGCATCTGAAGGAGCCACTGGTGAACCCGGAGTCCATGGAGGGAGCCAAGAACTTCCCCAACAACGTGGARGTTATTGGAAAGGCGGACAGTGATTTTGAAACCCTGTGTGAGCCCAGGCATCGGCCCTTGACGGACACAGGGACCCACAGAGACTCAGAAAGGAGCCTACCTGGGCGCAGAAAAAGAAAAGGCCAGCAGGCCGGGCCGTCGGACTGCTCCTTAAAGGAGGACCACATCAGTGAGAATTCACTGGCACCTCAGCGTGCCAGAATAGACCTTTTAGAGCGTCCCAGTGAGGATGAACAGAACAATGAGTCCTCTTTTAGTGACTGTGCTTCCTCCCCTTCATCTAGCCTGCGATTCGGGGACTCAGACACTCTCAGTTCAGATGACGAGGGGGAAGCCGGAGCTACGGGGGGGCAGCAGAAGACTCCTGCCCTCCCTACAGGGGGAGCCGCTGGAGTTGGCCTGCGCCCTAATTTGAGTCGAACTCGGGGCACTCGCTCCCATAAGTGGGTGCGGTCCGACGCTGAGCCAGTTCTGCTGAAGCGGCCTTGTCTGAACAGCCGGCGGCCTCTGCATAGGAAACGCTTTGTGAAAACGGCTCCTGGAGGTGGTCAGCGGACTCAAAAGCAGAAAGAACGACTACTACTGCAGAGGAAGAAACGTGAAGTGATTGCATGCAGGAAGTATGCTTTGCTCCATAGTAGTAGTAGTTCCAGCGAGGAGCTCAGCAGTGACTCATCCTCCCCTTCTTCGACCGAAGTGGATGACGAGCTGTATGTGGATGTCAGCAGCACTAGCAGCCAGCCCAACAGTGCTACTGTCGCAACAGGTAACCACACGCTCTAAAATGGAACAAACAGGTTTTATATTTTGTGCGTTCGTTGTTTACGGCATGAGATTTGTTTATTTGACACTGCAGAACTGAGAGAAAGTCTTGTTAGATGTAAAACTTGGCTAAGGCCTGACTATGGACATAGAGTTACACGTTTATATGCTTCTGTTTCAAGGGTTGTCAAATGGTTTGTTTGCCTGCAATTTAAGAGTAATAGAGGGTTTCACTAAGTTTGTACAATAAACTATGGTCCTTTTAACTATTGTACAATATGTGATTCAACAACATTGGCTGGGAATATAATGCATTACTTTGTGGGCTCGATTTTGTTTTCCTACAGTGTTTAAAAAAATTTAAAAAGTAAGAAACTACTATTATATTAATGGATTTTGCATTTTCTGAATCTCGCAGGACGCACGAGCTCTGATGCTGCAGGAATAACAAAATCCAGCCTGAATTAACATATTTTAATTGAAGCGCATTGATTTGCTATGGATTTTATATGCTCTGACTCTGAGAAGCAGAACAGAAAATAAGTACTGGTTAATGAGAAAGAAGAGGTGAACATGTGTAGCTTGTGGTGACAGCTTTTATTCATGGAGAACGCGGTTTGCTGGATACTTTTAGATTAACTTTGTAGGCTTTTATTGTAGTTTTTCCCCATTTTTCTTTATCAGGATTTAATTTAGTCAGGTTTTTTTTTGTTTCTCATTGTTAAGACCACGTATGTCCTGAGTTTGTACTGTATGCAGGATTTATCTGGGGGAATGTTTGATAGGGTTAAAGCAGTGACAAATGCTTGCATCACGTTGTCTCAGTAGACCACTCAGAATCGAGGACTATCCCAGGCCGATCTGTGTCAGCTCTGTTTGCCGTCTCTGTTAGGAATCGGTAATGAAAATACTCATTACTTTGCCTCGACTTGGTGCTGCACGGCTAAAGAAAACTAACCAGAGCAAACTGCAAACCCAATTAATGTCTGTCCTGTGAAGCAGAATGAAAATTGTAAGAGTATTGTTTTTACGTGAATTGATTTTATTCCAAGCCTCTACCATATTCTAATGCTTTAAGACAACTTTATTAAAAACAGTAAACTATATTGCAGCTTTTGAACTTTGACTAATTATGATACAACATTCATAAAAATAATCAATACAGCTGATAAAGGAAAAGCAGCTGCTTCCCTTGTTGAAACAACAGGTTTATGCTCTTACCAGTTCTYATCCTAAGCAAAGGAAAACAAAAGCCCCACCTTCACCTTGGCTCGTTGTATCTCTTGTGTAGCCATTTAGCCTGAGTAATATTTCTGTTGCTGTGGCCCAAGGGGAAAATGGAAAGTTAGTTGTTGTGACTGTCGTAGGGGACCTGTGGGGAGAAAAAAACTGTTGAGCAGCCACCTTCGCATAGAAACACTAAGTCTCAAAGGAGAACATGGCATTTGTTTACAGCAGAGGAAAGCAGGGATACAAGTGATGAAACCTGCTTTCTAGATGTCCAGTACCTGGGTGGGTGTGTCAGGAAACATTTCAGCCTTACGGAATGAGGCATTATTGTAAAATATTTAAACAGAAACAAGATTTAGTGACATGAATTATTCTGTAAGAGTACTTATATATAGCACCCTTTTTCTACCTTGCCTTATTAAAATGCTACTATAATCAAGAGCAGTTCTAGCTCAAGTACACAACATTTCCTATTGTGTAGAAAAATGAAGAAGCAAACTGATCAAGTGGCTGCTTGTTTGTTCTGCCAACGCACATTTGACATTTTTGTATTTTCAGTGACGTGGTATATAGTTGTGTTAAGAATAGTATCGCTATGTGCCAGTTACCCCAACAGGGTACATAATGGCTACARTTCTCGGCCAACTTAAGTAGTGTTGTTTGTTTTGATGCATGAAGTGTCAGGCAGCTAGACTTGCAGAGGGTGCTAAGCAGCAGTTCTCATGAGAGAGTTGTAAGAAAAGTCACAGAGGGGAAACAGACTTATGAGCAAGTCACCTAGAGATGTGCACAAAAGCAAAGCTCCCAGTGTGTTAGCCGACCTAGTTAGAAAGCAATATAATGAAATGACATGTATTAGCTACTTTTGGTTTAGCTTCATTTTTATTGCTTCATCTGAAATAAAAAACCAACAGAAAAAAGCAGTTTAGATTACATCCTCAGTGACATTTCTTTCAGAATGTAGGAAGGCAGTGATATAGTGGACAGCCTCGATAAAGTACATAAGATTGATGCAGATATCTTAGCTGTATGTGAAATATCTGACTCTTACAACAAATGTATGAGTCAGCAAGTCTTGATTACACTGAGATATTGTAGCAATAATTAGAAACAGATGTGCAACTAACTCTAAGAGCTAAGACCCATGACAACTGTGACTTTTGCTGCCAGAGTGTCTGCAAAATGGAAATGTGGAAGGTGATTTATGTGCCTTACATGTCTAAAATAAGCTTTAAAAAAGTGTTCCCAAGTTATTACAAATAGATGAAAAACTAAAGTGCACCACTAACCTTCCAGGTTTAAACTATACATTGGATCTGATGGCTTTCTTAAATGAATAACTTTTACTAAGTGGACTTTTATAATGCATGTGAATGCTCTACAGTTCAATAAGATGACTTATTTGGAATTGGCACTACATAAATAAACTTATTTGAATTGAATAGTTGGGGTGTACCAAAACATTGATTCATATCAGAGCCGTGATTCTCATTTATCAAGATTCAGAATTGATTTAAAATGTCCCATAATTGATAAAAAATAAAATACAGTAAAACAAATTCAATGGCTGTCAACCTCCATTTTGTAACTACGAGGAACGTCCTGACTTCACCACACAGTTCTGGAACGTATGCATGCGCAGAAAGCACCAAAACAAAGAGGAAACTACAAAACTGGAGGAAAGAGATATTCAACTGGCCCCATCTTCATCTGTTAAGATTCGGGCTCATTTTGTTTTTTACTGAATGAGTCTGAATTTGTCATGAGCTTCACTGTGTGCAAGGTTTGCAAAATTAAGATGAAGCACTTTGAGAACACGACAAATGAGCGCACATTATCAGGTTTGAATAAAAAATAAATTTTGAGTCGAATCATGGCCCCAAAAATCAGAATCGAATCGTAAGTTAGTAAAATATTCCCACCCCTATTGGATAGTTCTTAACCCAGTTGTAGAATTTTTCCAAACCTGATTGTCTTGTTTTATGCTGTTCAATAATTTGACTCTTATGAAACAGAAAAACCTTTCCCACAACYACAGAACAGGTTTGGAAACACTGTACTACACCAATTAGGATTAAAAATGTTTTCATCTGATTCATATTAATCAGCAATGTGCATTTTAATTGGAAACTTGTTTGTCTAAGTTTTTAAGTAAGAGAACAAATGTTCTTAATGTTTGGTAATGTTAAAAAATGCTAAGTGAAACAGATGTTTGGTGTATTTTACTGTTTTACTAATTTCTAGAGGTGTGTTCAGGTGCTTTGGATGAGGACGTAGTGGTGATCGAGGGTTCTCCAGCTCCAGCGCCTGCTGTTCCTGCAAGTGAAGAGATAAATGTCACTTCAACGGACAGCGAGGTGGAGATTGTCACGGTCGGAGATGGATTCAGGTAGGTACCATCAATATTACGGATGGATGAAACGTTTCCACCTTCTGCCATTGTTCAAAATTTCCAATTTCCTTTCCAATGAAATTGGATATTCAATTGAATACACCACAAAGACAAGATATTTGAAGGGGAAATATCATGTAAAATCAACTTTTTTGAGTTTTATATCATGTTATAATGTTACACTCTCATAAAAAAACATGCCCAAAGCCTTGCTCTGTCTGACTCATTCATGCATGTTTGAGAAATCCTGCAGAGTTTTTAGGAAGCCATGCTGAGGAGCAAAATGACAGGTAGGGACCAGAAACGCCCCTGGGAAGTGTCTTTAAGCCGAATGTCCTGATGCATCTCAGTAATCCAGGTAAAAAATCAAAAAGAAAAAAAATCATTAAATAGAGGTGGAGGCCTCCGTTTTCAGTTGTCCCCCTCCTACTGCGCTGCGATTGCCAGTATCACTCCACCCCCTGTTAACAATAGTGTTAATTAGGTGTCAACGATAGCCATGTGATGTGAGTATCAGTCACATGGAGGCAGGGCTTAAAAGCCTGAAATTTGCCTGAAACTCTCAGACTGAAGAAGTCTCTTGGAGGAGAGACGAAACGTTTCATTAGAGAAGAACCCGTCCAGAAGACCTATACAATTTTTTTCTTTTTCTTTAAGCCGAACTTCCTTATGGCAGAGCACCCCGCTCCCCAATCCCCACACATCCCGCCCATGACTCCTGCAGGCTTTCGGGGAAACTGAAAGGGAAACTGAAACTGTCTGCTGAGCTCCTAACATTATTTCTCACTCAGTGAAGCTCTTTTCAGATTCAAAATACACTTGAGTATTTTCAGATGCCAAGTAAACTGCAGCATACCCCCCCCACCCCCACTGAAATGGGCGGGACAGAAGCGGAAGGTGGTTCTTAAAGAGACAGAGGCCAATTTCAAGGCGTTTAGAAGAGGAAGTGATGAGAAGATAAGTTTATTTTCTATTCAAACATAAAAACAGCTTTTTTAATAACAACTGAAGGTGACATAATTACTTTATTATAGTATATTATTTAAATATATGCCTGGAAAACACATAATATTGCCCCTTAAATGTTTAAACAGATACATTTTATTGGTTTTTTGCAAATATTAACTCAATTTGAATTTGATGACTGCAACACATTACAAAAAAGCTGGGACATGGGAATGTTTACCACTGTGTGACATCACCTTTCCTTTTAACAACACTCAAGTGTTTGAGAACTGAGAAAACCAATTGTTGAAGTTTTGTGAAACTCTTGCTCACTCTTGCTTGATGTACAACTTCAGTTGTTCAACAGTTTTAGTTGTCATATTTTGTGCTTCATAATGCCTCACATATTTTCAATTGAAGACAGGCCTTCACTGCAGGCAGGCCAGTCTAGTACCCGCACTCTTTTACTTCGAAGCCACACCGTTGTAATACATGCAGAATGTGGTTTGGCATTGTCKTACTGAAATAAGCAGGATGGCCCTGAAAAAAACTTGGCTTGGATGGCAACGTATGTTGCTCCAAAACCTGTATGTTCCTTTCAGCATCAATGATGCCTTCACAGATGTGTAGGTTATCCATGCTAAGATACATACCATAAGAGATGCTGGCTTCTGAACTTTGAGCTGATAACTGGATTATCTGGACCTTCCTTTTCCTCTTTGACCCGGAGGACACCATGTCCATGATTTCCATAAACAATTTGAAATGTGGATTCGTCAGACCACAGGACACTTCTCCACTTTGCATCTGTCCATCTTAGATGAGCTCAKGCCCAGAGAAGCCGTTGATGTTTCTGGGGGTTGTGGATATCTGGCTTTGGCTTTGCATGGTAGAGTTTTAGCTTGCACTTGTAGATGTAGCAACAAACTGTGTTCACTGACAGTGTTTTTCTGAAGTGTTCCTGAACCTATGTGGCTGTTACAGAATGATGAGTGAAATKATGTTTTTAATGCAGGGCYGCCTGAGGGATCGAAGGTCATGGTCCTCCTGCTTTCTTGCAGAGATTTGTCCAGATTTTCTGAACCTTTTGATGATATTATGGACTGTAGGTGATGAAATCATAAATTCCTTGCAAGTGTCCATTAAGAAACGTTCTCAAACTGTTGGACTACTTGCTCTTGCAGTTGTTCACAAAGTTGTGAACCTCACCCCATCCTTGCTTGTGAATGACTGAGCCTTTCGGGGATGCTYCCTTTGTTTCCAACCATGACACTCACCTGTTTCCAATTAGCCTGTTTACCTGTGGAATACTCCAAAAAGTGTTTTTTGAGCATTCCTCAACTTTCCCAGTCTTTTGCTGCCCCTGTTACAGCTTTTTTAGGATGTGTTGTAGGCATCAAATTCAAATTATTTGCAAAATCTGTTTGAACATTAAATGTCTTTGTAGTGTATTCAGTTGAATATAGGTTGAAAAGGATTTGCAAATCAACTTAGTATGATTTTGTTTATGTTTTACACAATGTCCCAACTTCACTGGAAATGAGGTTGTACAATTGGACCGCTGGTCAGTGGTCATTCTTTTTGCCTTTGATTCTCCCATTTCTTCATTTTTATAGTGTGACTTCCTGTTTCAGTACTGACCTAACTTCTGTGGGTGATGCTTAATTCACCAACCTCTGTTTCTGCATTATTGTCTTCTATAACTACTTCTTTATCCATCACCCATTTTATATTYCTTTGTTATTAATATCTAAAACAGTGTTTCGGAAAACATTATTCTGATTCTGGAAAATCACGATTTGTCTAATCTGCCCTTTCTCTCTCATTTTTAAAGATGTCCTGTTATATTGGAGAAAAAAGAGATGAGATGAAGAGGGTGATGGGCAGCAGAATAGTGAGAGGGGTGAGAATCAAAGGCCAACAGAATGAGCAAATAAAATCTTTGTTCACATTGCCAGTGGTCCAGTGGCACCACTGGCAATGTGAACAAAGTGGTTTGCCAGCACATATTAGTGTGCAGTTTGTCAATACAACTTGGCTTATAGATTGTTTTTTATTAGTAGTGATGTGTAATTCTGTATTTTGTGTG